AGGGCATTTTAAAAAGATAATATAATAAGATGGTTACTTTTCTTTGTTAATTGAGAGAATTCAAGCCAAAATGAAGATTTATTGATGTAGTTTGATTATGGGGATGTTTTATGTGTATCCTAAATGATATTTTGTGTATATCTTGAGAGAATTTTATGTATATCCTGAAGGATATTCTGTGTATATCTTGCATAGTATTTTAGAAAAAAATTCTAGAACTTTCTCTATGTAAGAACTTATAATTTTATTAGTAACGTTTTTAATTTTTATAGTAAAAAAATTTATTTTTGTTCTTATATGTGAATGTACGCGTACTTACTGAATCTTTTTATTTTTTCTTATTCTACAATTTAATCTCGTGATTGTGTGCAAGGATTAATTTTCCCAACAACTTAAAATTTGTGATGGTGTAGCACCCGGAAAGGAGGAGGAAAAAAAAAAAAAAAAAAAAAAAAAAAAAAAAAAAAAAAGGGGGGGCCACGTCAGCAGCCGCGTCAGCAGCCACGTCAGCAGTCCCGGCCAACCAGGGCCTGCCACGTGGCAAGATCGCGTCACTCCGAAAGGAGCCACGTTGGCGATCCGCGTGGGTGCGATCCGACGGCCCAGATCAATCACGCGATCGGACGGCCCAGATTCAATCGCACGGACGTCCCAGATTCAATCAAAAACGAACGGCCCAGATTAAAACAAAATGAACGGCTGTGATCAAAAGGCAAGGGGTTATAAATAGAACCCCCACACCAGACCACAAACCCTAGCCGCCAGCCGCTCGCCGGAGAAGACGAACCAGAGGCCGACCGCCGCCACCCGCCGCCGCACCGGGGAAATTTCCGACCGCCGATCGAGGTAAATTTCATACCCCCGACTCGTTTTTCCCCACTGATTCCTCCTATGGCCAAATCGAAGCCGAAATCCCGGCCAAACGGCCGGAATACGCGGCCGAAGCCCAGCGGCGCCGCCGCGCCCCCTCTCGGTTTTTGCCTCCGACGAGGCCCTTCCCGGCCTCCGTTCGATGCAATTTTTATATCACCGTGATCACCTTTCTTTTCTCTACAGGTTGACCGGAGCCGAATCACCAAAACACGAACCTCGCCGGAGAGCCGCTGCACCCGAGAGCGCCGCCACCGGTAAGCTCCGTTTTTCCGTGATTTTTTGGCCCCCCGAGGGCCCTAGGGTTGTTTTCTGACAAGGACCAATGCGAGTGTGGCCGAATTCGGCCGGAAACGGCCGAAAAACAGTCAACCCGAGGTGACTCGCCGCCGCCAGCGGCGGCGCCGTCGCCGGAGCACGGCGGAGCCGCCGTGCCGGAGTTGCGATTTGGGCCGAAAGAGGCCCTGGGCTTAATTTGGAATTTTTTTGGAACACGTGCAGGTACTGTTAGTGTGTTTCAGTTCCCCGAGAAAAATTCAGGGAAAATTAGGGACAGCCTGCAGGCGCACTGTGAATCGTATTCGGATCTCGAAAACAAGTAAGGACCCCTCACCCTATTTCCTATCACGGTATTAAAGTTCAAAATGATAAAACGGTATTTCTTGAATTAACGCATGTGTGAAATTGCTTAAGGTTGCTAATGGAGCCCGAGTCTAGTGTGATTGATGATTTACTGTTATTTGGTCTGTTTTACACTGTTTTACAGCTTTAAATGCATTATGGGGTTTGATGTGTTCATTTTACAGATTTGTGTGCATATACTACGTTTTTACTAATTATGGGTTGAATGACTGAAAAAAACTGATATTGTATGTTGTCTGTTGATATGAATTACGATTTGCTTGTTTAAATGTGAATTGATGATGTTGATTGAGGAAAAGGAAAATGAAAGATTGTATACACTGATAATTGTATTATGGGGGTCAGCCTGACTAGATATCCTGGGAGATGGTGGACGGACCGGGTCCGTAGGGAACCCTACCGGGATCGTGGTCTCACATGCCGGACGGGGTATGGAGATCTTATGGTTTTGGCGCCCATACCGGACGGGGTATGGGGACGGCCCGTTTCACCCTCATACCGGACGGGGTATTGAGGTTTATGGTTTTGGCGCCCATACCGGACGGGGTATGGGGACGGCCCGTTTCACCCTCATACCGGACGGGGTATTGAGGTTCATGGTTTTGGCGCCCATACCGGACGGGGTATGGGGACGGCCCTGGAAACTGATTATGAATGTTAAAGGTTAACGGGTAGCGGAACCCCTATGGACCCCCATGGATACTAGTAGGCTGGTAAATGAGAAAAAAGATATGTTGTACAATGATTGTATTACAAGGGGTGTGATAAGTGTTATGCTTTACAGCTTAGATTATTCAATGATTATGATAATGTTATTGTTTTCTCATATTGTTTTCATAAATTCCACCAAGGTAAGTGGATGGTAAAAGTTTTATTATTGATAAAAGGTTTTGTTGTAAATTATGCTCCATTGGTCTTTTTGTGGTTTTCTACCCACCTTTATCTCCGTGACGGTGAGATATCGTGATGTTCTTACTGGGCTAGTGTAGCTCATTCCTTAATTAACCATTTCAGATCAGGAAGACATGGTTCCCGAGCCCGTTCCGCAGGAGGACGACGAAGGGGATGCCTAGAGACTCTGTAGTCACACGCATAGTTTATTTTCGAGTTTTCTTTCTTAGTTAGTTTAACCTTTTATATTTTAAGTACGTTTGTTTGGTTTTTCGTGTAAGGGATGTTAATTGAAATTTTGATCTCGCTTCCGCATTCGATATGATTTAAATACTCATTTCATTTTAATATTTTCCGGGGCCGTTACAAAACATATCTATAATGCATAATAAGTTTACACCCTTCAGGTTTAGCCAAAAGGAAAATATTTGTTTGATTAAATTGTTCTAAGAGAATAATCGACCTGAAGAAGGTACAAGCTACTTCTATGACTTCCTTCTTAATAACTATAGTGTTCTGTCTAGTTTAGGTGACTTATGGACATCTAAGTTTTTGGTACTATTATAAATCTCCTTTTATGGAGGAATACTAGCAAGATTGTAATTTTCTTCATAAATTATTATGTGTTAGAATAAATTGTATATATCTCATGGGAAGATAGGATTTCCACTTTTGAAGAGATTTGAGTAAAAATTCATAGATTGTTATGCAATTCCTTTTGGTTCAATATGCAAGGTTCCCTCTTCGTCTTTAGTTGCATGAATAGTATTCCTTCTTCTATTAGCCACTATAGTTACATCGAAAAATTTGGTGTTAAAGCCTCTTTAGTCCACCAGTATCTTTATAAACTTTTTGTCTCCATAGAATTTTGGATAAATTATTTTTTTATTAGATTGGTTTTTATAGGCTCCTCCTACAATTCAACCAGCTTCTTTTATAATCACTTTATATTTTGCTGGGTGTTTCTAAAATGTTGCTTGTTCCACTTCGTGATTGCTCTTTTCACATTTTTTATTTTCTGAAAATATTTAAAAGTTCTTCAGCATTTGACATTCATTCCCCACACACTTTTTACTACTTAGTACATGTACTATCTCTAAGTCAAGCTTATTCAAATCTGATAAGTCTCTTTTTTGCATAAATTTTCCTGTTTTGCCTTAATAATAAAGGAGAATGATTTAAAGTTAAAACAATTAGATTTCACCAATCCTTTATTAAGCCTTGCCTTCCCATTTGTCATTGATGATCATTGAAGAGATTATATGGATTAACTATTGCTTTACCCTTCAATTCATAGTCATGGCAGATGCATCGATTCACCATACTAAATGAGTTTAACATTAAAAGCTTTTTTCTTTTGAGCTTTTAGGGTATTGTAGATACTAGAATACCCAAAAAGAAAAATGTCATGATCCATAATTCTAGCATGAACTAAGTTTTCATCAATAGGATCCATAATCGGATTAATATAACTCCTCTATGCCGTGCATTATCCTCCCTTCATAAGGTGCATATATTTTATTCAATTATAAATATATGGTACAAATTGATAGAAAGTTAATAACAGAATAATATCTTTTAATATTTTTTAAAATATTATTTATGTTAATTTTAAATTAAAAGATATTTTAAAAGTGAAAAGAATAATCTAATTAGATAAGTTTTAGTTTTAATTTAAAAAGTTTGCATTTTTAATTGTAATCCAATTCGTATTAAATTATAAATTATAATTTTGCAAAATTATCAAAAAATTTAAATCATAGATACTGAATCTAAAGACTTCAAACCATAATGTATTAAATTATAAATTATTGAAAAGAAAATATTATTATCATCCGCTATATTATATCTTTGTACTTTTAGTTGGAGTAATTAGTATGTCATATAATTTATTATTGTAACAAATAGAACATTCTTGTAATTAATTTTAACTAAAAACAAAGATAAAAATGTATTTTTTACCATTCTATAAGCTAAAATAATTGTATTTCTATCTATCTCACTTATAAAAATTAATTCTAAATATTTCAAAATTTTCACTAATTCTCTTTATTTTATTCTATTTGACAATAATATTATATATTTGTACAAAGAAAACACTAGTAATAATAGGTATTTTACCACTCTACTACTGAGTATAATGTGGTTTAAATTTTGTACTAAGTGGAAAACTAATTAAATTAGTTAAAATTAAATAAATTGGTGAAAACTAATTATACTAATTGATACAAGCAGTACAGCTGATACTAATAAAAATAAAACAAAATAATTATTAAGAAATTAAAATGAATAGCAAGAAAATAATAAGATCAAAGTATTATTAAGAGAAAAAAATATTAATAGTAGAAAATTAAAATATTAGTATTAATTTTTTATGAAAAAAGAAAGTATTAATAATTTTAGTGTAGTTATAATAATAAAATAATTCAAATTATATGTCTGCTTTAAATTTATTAAAATTTAAATAATATGAGTTGAATAGATTTTTTTTTAATATCTGTAAAATATTAAATATTTCAATAAAAAATTAAAAAAAATAATTATTACAATCAAAACCAGCTGATGTGCCTGTTGTTTGAATCAGACCACAGACTCACGAGCCCAGGCCAGGCCATCGTGATTCATGCCTCTCAAGAAAAAGTAGGTCAGGGTTCCAGAGTGGCAAAACCGTAATAACACAAATCGGAATACGCATCATTCTGTCTTCTTCTCTCCCTATAAATTCTCGAACCTTCCTCATTACTCTTCCATTGAACTCATCGCCCTCTCCTGCGTCTCTCCTCTCCCTATCCCTATCATCGTAAGTTTCTTCACAAATAATCACTGATTGTTTACCTCTGTTTGTTTCGATCTATCTAACTGCCTGCCTTTTTTATTTGCAGAGTGCTTGTTGGTGCAGTTATTTGATTGCAATGGCGATGAGAAAGAAGAGTGTAGGTGATTTGACGGAGGCCGATCTGAAAGGAAAGAGAGTTTTTGTGAGGGTGGATCTTAACGTTCCTTTGGATGATAACTTCAACATCACAGATGACACTAGAATACGAGCTGCAGTCCCTACCATCAAGTACTTGATGGAGCGTGGAGCTAGAGTTATTCTTTCTACTCATTTGGTATGTTATTGTCCCTGATTCCCCTCCTCTCTTGCTTCTTCCATTTTCGGGTGATTTCTGGTTTAAATCACTTCGAAGATTCATGTTAATTGTCCCTTTCATTTCCTTCTTTTTTTTTTTTGGTTGAGAAATGCGATTTTCTTTTCATCCTCTTATGGCTAGCTCCGTTCAGATCTATCTAAATTCGATCAGTTTTTTTTTAATTCCCGTTAAAGCCTGTTTTCACTTCATCATTCTGGGAAATTGCAATCTTTCGTCGGATCTCGGAGTTTATGTAAATGAGTTTCGATTAATTGTAATTATATTCATCAAGGACGCGAATATCAAAGATAAATACCATGCAAACATCAATTTCCGTCTGGTTGATTAAATTGCTTAGTATTTTTATTCAATTGTGTTTGACTGAGGAGATTCCTTTCATTTTAGTGCATAGCCATCATGATTTCTCTCCTCAGACAATCTATTCATGGTGTATAGCGGTGTGTATGAGAAAATTCCTTGAATGAACTCTGTGACTTGGTAGATATGAGAATTTTAGAACTAAGTATTTCTTTCTAAGCCTTGTAGTTGCTGACTGCGTTTTTCCGATTAAGTTAGATTAGCACTGAACGGTTATTTTTATTGAGTTGTTGCACTTCCTTGCAACTTGTGACGCTGAATTTCGTTTGCTTCAGTTTTCAGCTATTTGAACTTCGTGGTTTTTCCACTTGTTGGTTATCAATTGACAAGTTTTCCGTTTTCTAGATGCTGTAAAGTGTTTTGTTGTTTGTGCAACTGTATTTGTTCTGTTCTCCATTATTTTCGCCTTGAATTTGTCAAAAAAAAAAAAAAATCTTTATTTACTTAATTAAAAAAAAAAACATTTTGGAAGCTTATAGAAAGTATGGGTAATATGTTACTATGCTAGGACATCATTTTTATTCGAGGCATTTTGTTTGGTTTGTAGAAATTTGTTTGATTCTTAATTAGGTCCATGTAAAGGGATAAATAAACTTTAACATGTAAAGCAGGCTTAAGCTCTTCATTCTATTAGTCTATGGTACCTCTTCGCCTATTACTACTATACGTTTGCAAATGCTCTACTATACAGTCAATGGGTTAGCTGAGGGTGGGCTGTGGCAATTTGGATTTGGCATTTTGTTCCATATGTATGTGCCACTGTGAAGATTTTAATATCATTATTTTGTTAACGTGGGATATAATTTGTGCTGGTCTGGTCTCTTTGCTAAAGTTTGCTAATTTATCTTATCTAAACTGGTTTTCAGGGCCGTCCAAAGGGTGTTACTCCAAAGTACAGCTTGAAGCCGCTGGTGCCAAGGCTGTCTGAACTGCTTGGAGTAGAGGTTTGTCTTGTTCCCTCCTGTTTAGTCTCCCTGCCATGATTTTACGCGTATAAAGCCTTCATTTACATCTTCTCCTCCCCCCATTCTCTTTCTTTTAACAGGTTAAGATGGCAAATGACTGTATTGGTGAGGATGTTGAGAAGATGGTAGCAGAAATCCCCAATGGAGGTGTTCTCCTACTTGAGAATGTGAGGTTCCATAAGGAGGAGGAGAAGAATGACCCTGAGTTTGCCAAGAAGCTTGCTTCACTTGCAGATCTCTATGTAAATGACGCATTTGGCACTGCTCACAGAGCTCATGCTTCTACTGAGGGAGTGGCTAAGTTTTTGAAGCCTTCTGTTGCTGGTTTTCTTATGCAAAAGGTATTTTGCTGTTTGTTCTTATCCTAAAGTTGCACTACACGGGTCATTTGTTCCTTCATTTTTCTTATTTGTTTAGCATAGTTCTCAATATTTCTTGTTTTATTATTATAGGAACTTGACTATCTTGTTGGAGCTGTGGCGAACCCTGCGAAGCCTTTCGCTGCTATTGTTGGTGGTTCAAAGGTGTCAACAAAGATTGGAGTGATTGAATCCCTCTTGGCAAAGGTTAATGTTCTCTTGCTTGGTGGAGGGATGATCTTCACTTTCTACAAGGCTCAAGGTTATAAAGTTGGCTCATCCCTTGTAGAGGAAGATAAGCTTGATCTTGCAACTTCACTTATTGAGAAGGCCAAGGCAAAAGGAGTATCCCTTCTGCTTCCTACTGATGTGGTTATTGCAAACAAGTTTGCTGCTGATGCCGAGAGCAAGGTTTGTATCTCTGGTTTAGAGGAGAGCCACTATGGGTTAATTATATGATGGTGCAATGGAGGATAATTTGCTGTTGGCCTGTTTCTATCACTCACAGAGGGATTGATGTTGCTTGAACCATTTAATTTTTATAATTTACGCTGTGAAAGGGGTTGAAAGTTCAGTTGAATGTTCTTTCAGGTGGTTCCAGCATCTGAAATCCCAGATGGTTGGATGGGTTTGGATATTGGACCAGATTCCATCAAGACGTTCAATGAAGCTTTGGACACAACGAAAACCGTCATCTGGAATGGACCTATGGGTGTTTTCGAATTTGATAAATTTGCAGTGGGAACTGAGGTAGGTTTTTGTGGTTTTATTTTATTAACAGATTTCTATCCCATTCAGGGCCTACTTATTTCTTACTGAGAGCAATCAATTTTGCCAGCAATAGATCCAAATCAGAATTATTGAACCAAATGGTGGATTTTCATTGTTATTTTTGCAGGCAATTGCGAGGAAGCTGGCAGAGGTGAGTGGGAAGGGAGTCACAACAATTATTGGAGGAGGTGATTCTGTTGCAGCAGTAGAGAAGGTTGGTCTCGCCGACAAGATGAGCCACATCTCCACAGGAGGTGGTGCCAGCTTAGAACTTCTAGAGGGGAAACCCCTCCCCGGAGTCCTTGCTCTTGACGATGCATGAACTGGTCTGGAGTTTGGTACACACTGTTTGTTTTTATCTTTATTGTATGGCTGGTGGATGGTTTTTCATCCAGAGAGTGTATGGCAGCAAATCTTGTAGAGGCTATAGGGTGACTTAAGAATAAATGTAATTTCTTTCCAGAGGGGCATCCTTCCTTAACTGCTTGGATCTATTTTTGGAACATTGATGATAAATGGTCCAACTGAATGAGTTATTTTCCCTTAAATCACTAGTATGTTTCTTGATGCTTACATCAACTTTTAGTGGCCGTTTTGGCAGCAGGTTTTTTACCTGCACCCTTTGCTGCTATGCTAAATCATAGAGAAAAACTGAAAATACTTGAATTGTTTTTAATAGCTTTAACATGGAAGCTACTACTGCATTCAACAATTTTTTTATTTATTTATTTTTCTAAAATAATCATTAATTAATAATATAATTTTGTACTTGTAGTAAATATGTATTAGTGTATCATAGAGAATAATATAATATACATATTACGTATGATGTGTGTATTACATTTGTGTTATTTATACATAAAATGATCTATACGATGGCCTGATTGTATGGTAGGCTTTTGGGGTTCTTAGCATCAGTTTGCAAGCTTTTTACTGCATGTATGTTTGTTTTGGAAATAATTATATTTGGAAGACTTGCAGAACTTATATTCTATTAAATTAATTGTAGCATTACCTCTTAATCAGATGCTAGTAAGGTGACACTTTTACTTTCTCTTTTCTGTTAACATTCGAGGAAATTACTGTCACCGGACATTGAAGACACAACTCTTCTTACCTAAAACACTTAACTCACCGTATATGGATAGATCTATCTCAACCTAGCACATTATTAAGCTCTGAATCCTTCTAAATGCTTGTATTAATTTATTATATTTTTGGTATAATTATCACAAGACTTATAATCTTCACTGGTTTTGTTCATTGGTACCATGCACAAAGTCTTCTTCGCAAACCCAAGTGAAGACTCTTTGAAAATCAATCACATAAAAAGAGTAAAATACTAAAAGCACAAATTTGAGATACACTAATAGTTCATTTTAGTTCAATAAAAGAATTTCTCAAATTTCTTTTTCAACATAAGTTCAAAAAAGATTGAATACGCGTTTCGTGAAGGAATTATTCAAAGAAGATTTAGAAAATTACCTCAAAGCTTATTTTTCAAAAATATAAACTTTTCATGAAGCTCGAAGGTGGAGGAGGTGCAGAAGGAGAGAAGATTTTGAAATAATGATCTTCAGGTCTTCTTCATGAAATCTTCTTCTTCTCTTTTACTCACTCACACACTTTCTCTTTTCTCTTTTGTCTTTCTTATTCACATCTCCCCTTTAAACTACTTTTTAAAGTA